TGTGTGTGTAGTAGCCATTTCGGCAGAATTGGGGGCATAAGTATAAACACTAAGACACCGATCGACCACCATCAGTCTGTGGGTGGTAAGCAGAACAGTACCTCAACTCAATATTCAAGGAAGTGAAAAATATCACCTCCATAAATTTCTTGTATTTTTTTGTCCCTGTCAGATATAATAAGCAATAGTGGACCATGGAGTTTGACGATATTGTCAAAAAAGAGAGGCTTGGGTCATAGTTTGCACAGTATAAGGATGTGAGAGAGTTATGAAGTAAGAGTATTTTGTAAACAAGTCCGCTACTACCAAAATTATTTATTTTTCATGAGAGTTTGGTAGACCTTCAATGAAGTCCATTGTAACGTGTTGCCATGCCATGTCAGCAACTGGTAGATCATCTAATAATCGAGGTGACAAACCGTGCTCATGTTTTGCTCTTTGCAGATTGGGCATTGCACAATAAAAGATTCCACCTATTTCTTCATGCCAGGCCAAAAAATATATACCTTTAATTCAGTGATAAGTAGACCTCATCCAGACAGAATGACCCCCAATAGGTGCACCGTGCAATGATGTGAGTAGTTTGTTCTTGAGATCTACATTGTCTCCCACTAGGATTTTCCCTTTTCACTTGGTTTTGAGGAATTGTTCCCCATTAATTGCTCCAGTTGTTGCTCACAACATGGATAAGAAGTGTAAGTATACATAATATCCTTAGCCCACAATTTAGTAGCTTTTGACATGGATAGCATCTGTGGAAACATCATAGAAAGTGCATCTGCCACTTTGTTTTATGAACTTTTCTTGCACTAAATAGTGAAATCAGACTCCAACAAGTTCATCATGAGTTTGTGTTGTATGCATTAGTATAAATGAATTCAGAGATTGTTGATCAGTTTTAATAACTAATTTGTTTTCCACGAAGTAATGGCACAATCTTTTTAAAGATTCAGTTATGGCCAAGGCTTCTTTCTCATATGTTGGTAGGGTTGCATTTCTAGGACAAAGAGATGTGTTGTAAAATGCAAGAAGTCTTCCTTTCTGCATAATTACTGCTCCTAATCCGTGTCCTGATGCAAAGTAGCAGGTTCAGCAGAGACATCCATGTATTGTTGCAAGAATTGAATAGTGTGAGGGTTTTTTATGCCATTCTTGTTGTGAAATTGTATGGTATATAACTATATTATAAGGCATCTAGTGCCCTTGTCCATTATCTTGTGCAGTTGTTCAACGAGAATGTTTGTACTTGGTATTTCATAACTTTATATTACTTTTGGTATCACAGTTTTGATACGTAAGGTGAAACGTAACTAACTTTCAAGAATATTGAAAGAGATGGGACTGACTGAAGAAAACCAATCACATCCTATAGTGACATCATGACTTGGTATAGAAAGAACTTTGAATGGGTGCTTGAGTTTGGCCAAGTGAAAAGTGAATTCTAGTACCATAGATGTAGAGAGCAAAGTTGCTCAACTAGCAATAGAAATAGTCCTAGGAGCAACTTCTTGCATAACAACGTTGGATTTAATAGCAAATTGATGATCTATGAAAGAGGAAGTACCTCTAGAATCCAATAGTGCAGCCAGTCTATTTCCTTCTATAGAGATGAGTAAATAGGAGTAGATGTGGTGAGATTACCTCCCACTATTTGAGTAAAAGATGCTCATAACATGTTCCTTCTACTCTGTTACTTCTTCTCGCAAGTTATGTTCATTTTCTTCAGTACCAGTTTGTGCTAATTCAATCAGATCCTCCAGTAGCAAATGAATATTAACTCCATCCGTATGTAGACAAATCTAAGACAGGTAATTCGGGGCGGAGAAAGTATTAGGCACTAAGTTACATTTATTAAGGGGAGCGTGTGCTTCCTCTGGGTTACATGTTTGTGACGCCCGGATAATCAAGCTACGACAACCTCTACTAATGATGCCACATCACCTCGATTACTGTTGTTAATCTCGCCTTAGTTTGAAACCGGTTCAAATTCAAATTCAAAATAAAGGCAAACATCAAAAGCTTTCAACTATCAAAACAAAAATGTTCGGATTGTGCCAAATATTATGTAGGTAATTATAGTGAATAAAACACATGTTTAGAAAATGCTAAGATGCTTTAAAATAAATAAGACAGAAAATGGAAAAAGAATAAAAACAGAAAAACAAAACTAACAAAAGAAAAAAAGAAAGGAAGACCCCCTGGCCAACTGGGCCTGACGGCCCAGCTGGCCAACCCACCTAGCCCAGCTGGCCAACCCACCCCTTACCCACTTAACCCCCCCAAAACCCTAACCCGTCACCCCACTTCGCCCCTACTCCCCCACTGTCTCCCCCCCTCGATCTGGACCGGGGAAACGACCGCCCCGACTTCGCTGGACCGTCTTGTCGCTCGTTGCCACCACCACCTCGCCGGAGCCCGCGCCGCTCGTCTCCCTCGCCGGACTGCCTCTTTGCTTCATCGTCCTCCTCCCCAACTCGCATCAATGAGCCTCGCCACCTCAGATCCCCTGCAACGGGGGTGAGAAACGACCCCCTCCTTCTCCTCTTCCCTTCCACCGCCATGCACACCGTCCTGTCGCCGCGCGCCTCGCTAGCTCACCCACGCGCCCGCCGCCTGCAGCCTCCCCCTCACGCCCGCTCGCCGCACCCACAGGCGTCGCGCTCGCACGCGCTGCGCCAGCACCGTGGCCGGCCCCCTGCTGCTAGTCTACCTCACCAACGCGCCCTCCATCGTGGCTCTCCACACCCGCGCCGGAGCTCGTGACCGCTACTGCTGCCGTCGTTCCCGCGCGTGGCCGCAACACCTCGGGTGCACGCGTCCTCGCCGCTGCTCGCGCGCGCTCGCCCTCCCGCACTGCCACTGTCGCGCCGATGTTCCTCCGCCCCGCTCGCCGGCCCCGCTGCTCTGCCGCTGCCGCCGTCCGCGACCTGGCTCCACCGCGCCACCCCCCTGACCGGCCACCTCAGCCATGGCCTCGCCCATCTCTTGCTGGCGTCGCTGGCCGTTGGCTGCGCGCCCCCACGACCTCCATCGCCCGCCCGTGCGCCTACTGGCCTCGCCCGGGACCAACCCAGTCGGCGCCTGATACGTCCATTTTGCATCATGCTTTTATATCGATATTTATTGCATTATGGGCTGTTATTACACGTTATGTCACAATACTTATGGCTATTCTCTCTTATTTTACAAGATTTATCATGAAGAGGGAGAATGCCGACAGCTGGGATTCTGGCTGGAAAAGGAGCAAATATTGGAAACCTATTCTGCACAGCTCCAAAAGTCCTGAAACTCCATAGAAGTCATTTTTGGAATTAATAAGAATTATTGAGCAAAGAAAGTACCAGAGGGGGCCCACACCCTGGCCAGGAGGGTGGGGGGCGCCCCCCTACTAGGCGCGCCCCTGTCTCCTGGGCCCCCTGGTGGCCCTCCGGT